CAGCCTCAAATTCTGGAAAACTGCAAAAACAAATAAATAAAAAATATCCACAGAGTACAGCTAAGGGTGTTATACAGGGTTAAACAATATAGCACTCACAAGACAATCTGCAAATTATATATTAGGAAGGGGGTGGGGAGTGTAAATGTTGACGGGACAGGTGGAAGGCTGACAATGCATGCTGCCTGCTGTCATCTCATCAGAGTCCTTGACTCTCCCAGTTTAAAAGCAAGGGCCTCCCAGTAGTCACTCAGGCATCGCTGCTTCCTGCTTCAGAGACTCCATCTCCTGGAAATAGCCTGTCAGGTCCCATCTGTTTTTTCTTTTGTGAAGTTGCCAGCCTCCTGAGAATGGGTCCTCTATTCCCATCTCCTCGCTGATGCTGGAAAACCAAAGGGGAATAACCCCTCCAATCTGCCAGAAATTGGTTTTCTGATATCAAGGACTTTGCCTCAGGGAGCTGCAATCTACAGTACTTAGATGAAAATTAGATTTGTAAGTACAGCGCTTTCCTTTGTTGTCTGCTTGCAAAAACCTCCGTGTTTGCCTGCTTCTTGCTGCGTAGGTTGAAAGAGCTTAAAGTGAAATAAGCCATTAATAAGCAAAATTCAGAAAATAAATATGTATTATGACAGCTGGTGTGGTTTGAAGAAAAGAAGATAAGTAAACTTTCTCAACACCTCCACCCTTCCTCAACTCAAATGAAAACTTTTGTTTAGGCCTCGAGGACTGAATAATTCTTAGGCACCACAATTAGTTGCTATTTTACTTGTCAGAACCTTGGAGACTATTAAACATGTGCCCCATTAGATATGGCATAGTCATTAATCACACAAAGCATTCCTTCTGATTGGTTTATCAATCAAGCAACTATGTCTTTACCCCAAGTTTAATACATTTATCCAATGGCATAAACCTGCACTGTGCTTTAAAAATAGAGGAGTAGAACTTTAATTTGTTGATTCAAGCTTGCAGTTGCCTAGGCCTCTCTTTTGGTCCAGTTATGTTGGCTGACTGTCCTTGGCTTCCTCCAGTCACTTCCTGCTGGGCTCTTATACTGTTTCAGCATGGCACAATTCCTAGACTCTTGATTTATTATCAGGTGAGTAACAGGATTTATCGCAGAATAAAAAAATGGCAAATTCTAAGAATAGCGCTAGTGGATCATCCCAAATCCCATCTAGTCCAGCATCCTCTTCTCACAATGGCCAATCAGATAGCCCTGGGAAGCCACAAGTGGAGATGAGGGAGCAGTGGAATCATAGGACTTTAGGATAATTATATTTTTATGATTACCAGTGTATCTTGTGGTTTTATGTCTATACATCTTTTAGTTGTATGGAATGGATTTCTAAATCCATATACTATATTTTTTATGGTGGGGGGTGCCTCTTTATAAGACTTCCACTGACTGGGAAGCAGGATGAACATTTTTGAAATCCAGGGATGCCTCTGGTTGCGGATGGGATCTGTTCTGGAGCTCCAGTCGAATCCTGAGGTTTTTGCAACCGGAGGTGCCTGTTCTGTGCATGCACGTGGGACGGTAGAGCGTTTCTGCGCATGTGCACGGCACAGTAGAGCGCTTCTGCACATGCACACGCCATGAAATCCAGAAAAATACTTCCGCGTTTGCTGCATGCGTATCCTGAAGGATACATAACCAGAGGTGCTCGTAAGTAGAGGTAGCACTGAATGATAGACAGGAGTTTGACTAGAGGGAAATAAGAATACATGCAAAACATTTCAGCAACGTTGTTAAATCTTGGAATGGAAACAGAGTAGCCAACCACTGTGAGCTTCATATAGATGAGATAGCTCTTAAATGTTAAATCAATCCATCCTTCAAAAATAAGCTTGGGTACTTCCAGGTTTTTTTAATACAGTGGTACCTTGGTTTGCATACGTCTTGGTTTGCATACATTTTGGATTACAAACACGTCAAACCTGGAAGTGCGTGTCCCGGTTTGCAAACTTTTTTTGGATTACAACCCTTTTTGGATTACGAAAAACATTTTTTTGGAGGCCCCATTGGCGAAAGCGCGCCTTGGGTTGCAACCTGTTTTGGTTTACAAACGGACCTCCGGAACGGATTATGGTTGTAAACCAAGATATCACTGTGCTTCAGTGGTAAGTTCTTCATCATTTAGGCTGAACTGTAGAAGTATCATGGACAACCTCATCACAGCATTTTTAAAGAAAGTAAACATCAAAACAACACTAATGTTTTAATGAAAACAATAGTCCTCTTCAACAATTTATATCCAGGTTATTTCCATGGCATGGAAAGAGATAGCATGGCTGCACACTCTTCCCCAATCCCAACCTTTTCACTCTAGTTGAACTCAGTTTGTGTTGAGAGTAAATATGTATGTGGATTGGGCTGCTAAATATATTTGTCTGAAAGCAAGACCTACTGAAATCAGTACAACTTCCAAATAAGATGCTTAAGAGTGGATTTTACATCTTGCGTGGAGTAGTAGAAGTAATATACAATCAATTAAAAACCAGAAAATTCAGACAACCTACAGTACAAAATTCCTAAAATTCTCATCCAGTTTATGAAATGCATTTATCACATTTCTCTAATGTAAAAATGATAAAAGCGATGTGTGACATATCACTGACCAAAACTGACTCCGTATAGCTAGCTGCAATCCTGTACACAGACTGCTTAAATCCCAAGTGGGAATTAAGCAGCCCGCCATGGCGCAGGATTGCAGCCTGATTATCTAGTGAAATAAACTGTTATTACTACATTTGGAACATCTCAGGTGAAATAACATTTACCAAAGAATCTTTCAGAAAGTGAAAATCCAGACACAAAAGTTATTTATTGAGATTTTAAGACAAAGTTGTTGAGCTTTTTTGTTGTTGTTGAAAAATCTCAAAAAAATAATGAAGTTGTTGAGCTATTCTTGTGGAGTTCGGGACTGCTGACATGGCTTGCTACTCAGATGCAATTCCGAACAGCCAAATCCCCGGCATATGGCAACCCTACCAAAGAATGAAGCCTCCAAAATAATCTGCACCGGCTGCCTTTAGAGTCAGTGTATTGGGAAAAGACTGACCCCTGGATGTATCTGAAATATCAGATCCATACCCTTAAAGGAAGGCAGCTGTGGGATGTTGACAGAAGCACACAAAGTGCATGATAAATATTCACACAACCCATTAAAATGACATAAGCAATTAGAATGGTTTCTGATATGGTTGCATTCCATTGCAGATCAGCTGCTGGAGCTGCGACTGAAGTAGCTTTTCTTTCCTTATCTGTTGTTAAATGTAATACATGTGAAGCAGTAGAGCAGATCAAGTCTTATACAATCATTTATATTTTAAAAGTAAAAGGAACCATTTGGAGAACTGCCACAACAGCCCTGAGTAAAATTCCATTTTATATCTTCAGTGCTGTGCTATTTAAATTAATGGAAGGGGCACTGGTTTCCTTCAGAGCTCAAGGACATCACAGCCAGTCTGAAGTGCTTGTACAATTTGAATTAACTAATTCAGATCATCTCACCTCCAGACGGATAAAATAAAACAGGGGTAAAAATACTAAGGAGGCACTAAAATAAAATAGGGATTAAAGGCTGTCCATCTGGAAAAAAGAAAGTCCAAGGAGACTAGATGCACAAACCCAAGTTCTGCATAGTTTTGATGGGCACATGTTCAGAATATGTTTCCTCCCATGCTAGTCTACCTTCACAATAGGAAACCTTCATTACGCATGGACAACATTTCCTGACTCACAGAAGAGAGCTAGGCTGACTCCGGAGTCTGAAACTATTGCATCATAGCACAGGAAAGAAGAAACCTTTGTCTCAAAGGTTTGACACAGAGGCAGGCCTAGAAAGCTATTGGCACACTTCATAAGATGCAAGCTACCAGCCACGTGGTGGTCCACCAGGAGTTCAATAAAACTCATGCTTCTGCTGCCTGCTTTTGGGTTTGTTGGGTCACAAATTCTACATGCCTCTTAAGGACTCTTAATGTGTTGGATACAGGTTTAGTTACTCAGTGAAATCAGTGGGACTCAATGAAAACAGTTGGTCATTCCTAACTTATGCCCCATTCATTTCAATGCATCTGCCCCAAACATGACTAAGTCTGGATCCAACCTATTGTTATAAACGTACTGGGAAAACACAGGGGACATATATACACTGTAGCTAGGCTATCCCCTGCTGAATGCTAAAGTCACTACAAAGCCCTGGTGAGAGGGAGTCAGGGCCTGCCCTGACCAGCATGGATGGAAGTAGCCAATCCCTGAGCTGTTGCCCAAAATTTAAACTTTAGGAGGCTTCCAGAACAAAAAAGATTTCTGCCTGAGCACTCTTTCTCCCATGTTGCACTGCAGAGGGGTTGTCCAGGTTGAAACTCCAAGGGCCAGAAGCTTCTATGAGGGAAGACTTGAAGACACCAGGAGAAACACTTCAACACTTGGAACACTTGGAAAACCTCAGTGATGCAGCATCAACCAACCTGTTTAGCTTAAGTTTGTGAATGGAAGCTGCAGGTTTCTTTGTGCTCTCCACCCGAGGAGAGTGTGTGTGTGCCCTTAAGCTGGACAGAGTAGAACTATTGTCTACCTGCCCACCCCAGCCAAATGAACTTTGCAACAGTTTTCTCTAGTGTGGCTTTTAACTAGCTGTGTACCAAGTTCATGTCCTCAAGAATATAGACCCAAACTGTAAGAAATTTTGAAGGTTACTTCCAAAATGCTGCCCAAGCTGTTTGCTATCATGTCTGTTGTCTACATCACTGAACAAGACTGCAAATAGGTCAGTTTTTTTGTTTGCTCTGCCTGATGTAGTACATTTAAAGTATTTCTGACATTGTCCATTAATTGTCTTGTAAGGTCAAAACTACATTGATCTTTCACTGTGGCATGATTAATTAATGTATTCAAGTACCTTGCTAAAGAAGCTGTGAATATTTAGGTATCTTAGCAAGTTAAATACAACTTTCTAAATATATGATTTTCCCTCCATTTGGTTTAGGTATCACAATCATTTTAGACATTTCCCAGGAAGGTGGAAGAGCACTTGAGGTAAGTACTTCATTAAAGGCACTGGGCGGGGAAATTAATAACGTCTTTATGGAGTTATTTAAAATTCAGCTTATAATACATCTGCTTATAATACATGGGATGAGTCCAGAGCACTATTCCTGGTCTAGTTAGGTAAAGCTTAGACCTCCATGCAGCTCTGTCCAAGCAAAATGTCTACCAAGGCAGTCCATATAATATAATTTTTGTTTCTGCTGCTTGGGGAAATAATAAACATACTGAGGGAGGGGAGAGATCAGGCCTGTGCACCAGTTTCTCCACTACTGAACTAGAGGATAAAGAGTATTGTTTCTCAGTTCTGCTAGCAAACTGCAGCATTTCATGGCTAACACCTTACATGTGGACATTTTAGTGACACTTTACTCCATTCTTATCCTGCCAATATCCTATAATGCCTTTAATATTTGTGTGATACAGCTGAGTCTTTGAGGGACTCTCCTCTTCATTTAGGCTTGAAAAACATACAGGCTTCCCAAACTGAGCAACAGTGCTGTTGTTTTCTCTCTTTTGCTCTCAGAGCTCCTGGCCTCTTGCTTCCAGAAGTATTTCGTGGGTCCTGGTTTTCTGTCAGAGGTCCTGATCTTCTTTTGTGTCCAGAATATGATCCAGATCAAGCTCTTTCTCTGGCACTTCTTCTGCTTGGAAACTGAGTTTTATAAGCATCTTACATCCCTCTGTTTGATTCTTCCTAGCCATACCTTTGAAACTCCAGTGGGAGCACTTACAGTGTACCTTGGCTTTTTGAAAGTGCTTTTGGTTTATGGCTTATGTTTCCTCAAAGGAAGATCCTGGTCTATTTTTTATTCCTACACTCCACGACAGACTGATGTTCACACTTCCAATTCTCACTGTCCTCCTGGCTCTGCTCCATGCCTAGGGTATAACTAGTGAGAACAAGCCTTTCATCTTGTTCACATTTATTGACTGCTGGCTTACACGTGACTCCTCTTTTGCTTTTAATGTAACTGCATAAACTATTGTTTGGATTTTCAGCAATTAATCACCAGAGTAGGAATATAACTGTTGCACACAGTTATATTGATTTTAATCATGCTAGATTTGAACTGGTGGCCCTAGATAAAAAAAATATTTCACGTGGTCATTTTTATGTCATGGAGATATTTATGCCACCATTTTCCTTCTCATATATTAAGGTGCTCTGCTAAACAGTTTTTAATGTTTTCAGCTGCAACAATATTCTAAATGGAACACACACATCCACCACATAATAAAGTATGATTCTTTATTATGGTCCCCTCCTTCCCATCTGTTCACCACTAGCTCAGAGAAGTGAAAAGAAATATCACCTTCATTTGAGAGAGAGAATAGTCAAATATTACTGCTACCTGATACCATCACACCAACCTAAATCTTGTCTTGAAGTTTGCAGCTAAAGCAATTGAGCTGGTAAAATTAAAATGGCTGCAGATAGGCTGGCCATATACAAAAGGGACATAGAGCTCTACTACCTTTAATTAATCTATAAAAGACAGAACTCAGGCAGGTGCAGTCTGTCTTACAGAGGAAGTGAAAAAATGCTTCTCCTGAAATTCTCTTCTACATAAAGCTTTCACTTCCTTTATTTGCATCTGATACCCCTAGTCATAGCAAACATGGTGAAAGTGTGACTCTTTCCCAAATTCTGTTCTGCTATTATTTAATTTCAACCAATTCTGGGTCTCTGGAGGGACTTACAACGAAGGACTGATGCAAAGCCAAACATGATGTAACCAGTGCTTTTTTTCTAGAGGGACACAGGGGTACGCATACCCCTAAACATTTTGTGAATGTAAGTTTGGCCTCATTAAGGAGCAGTATTTCAAAATGAGAGTACCCCTAAACATTTTTTTAAGAAAAAAAGCACTGGATGCAACATTCATAAATAAAGCAATATACTGTCTTGATCATATATGCATGTCTGGATTCTACATAAATGCCACAATAAAACATGCATTAGATGACTTAAAGTTCTCTCTTCCAGAATAATGCCACGTACTCTCTTTTATTAGGTTCTCTAACAGTTCCATAAGTTTACTTTTGCAGCTTAGTCCAGCTGTTCACAAAGAGGAAACCTTATTCTTCACTCTCTGCTGCTCCAAAGCAGGCTTCTTAAAACAAGCTCTGTAAAGGAAAAGGGCCTGCTCCTGTGGGCTTTACAGTAAGGAGGTGACCAACTGTTCCTTATCTAAACACCAGCTCCTAACTGCATGGCAAATGAAATCATATTTGTTTCTCCCTGTGGCCCAAGGAGACCCAGATGGTGAAAAGCAGGGTATAATTCTAAAAAGAAAAAGAAAAAAGGTAGCTGCTCTACACTTCAGCTTCCTATTGAGCATGTGCAGAAATATAATCTTGCCATACTTCTTAAAGCAACATGTACACAAATGTGCTACAAAAACAGCTAACTTAAACATATGCATTCTGCAAGAAGGTGCCTGCTCCAGGTTGATGACTCTGTAGCTCTTCTACCAGCCAATCCACTTCCACACTAGACACCCTCTGATTAAGGGATACTTCACATTCCACATGGCAGAAAATAGGTGTTTCTTCTGGATCAACTGAATGTTATGCAGCAACAAGCCCAAGCCAATCCTGGGTTTTCTGACATGTTGTAACCCACTGTGGTTGAAAAACTGCATTTGTTGAATGCATACATTACCAGTGCCACCTTAAAAATGCCCTGTGTGAAACCACCCTCAAATTGAAGCTCAGCCCTCATAAATGTTTGATATATGAAATGTGAGGGAAACTATTTTAAGACATTTGAAAAAAGCCACCTGGGATTGCGAGCATAAACAACTGAATGTCCAGTGGTGTGAAAGCACATCAGGGACAATCCACATAGCAATCCTCTTAAATAGGTCCTGCCAAACATAAGATGCTTGTTGTGTGGATTGGTCCTACTGGGTTGCCATGACAACAGCAGTGGGTACATCCATTTGGCAAAGACATTTACATACAACACAGTACGCCCCGCCCCCTGCACATGCTGTTCATGCCACATGGAAGGATTTCTCAGCACCAGCCAAATGGCTGTGGCAATATAGAGCAGTTCTTACAGGACATCTTTCAATGATCACAAAACAAATGTGTGTGTATGTGTGTGTATGATGGTGATGGTGGTATAATGAGGATGACACAAAGTTTCTGAGCCACATGTAAAAAAAATTACTGTTAACTCCCTTGAGCATAGCTTGACTATGTTATCTATCTATATCTATCATCTATCTATCATCTATCTATCTATCATCTATCTATCTATCTATCATCTATCTATCTATCTATCTATCTATCTATCTATCTATCTATCATCTATCTATCTATCATCTATCATCTATCTATAATGGGTGCCATTATGTTACTTAATTACATCAGTTATTTAACATTAAAGCTGCAATACCATATGCTTGGTATTCATAGTAATAGGGAGAAAGCTGCACCAGTACTTCTTTTAATAAATTCTATATGTGCAACCAGTTCTTTTTCCTGCCCTCTAGGCTCTATCATATATATATATATATATATATGGAGAATCTTAGACATAAAAAATTTAAAAGGTCAATTTTATGATGAAGCGGACAGACCTGGATATTCTAAATGGCACCCTAGACTAAAGCAGCTAATTGTTTTTTTCACAGCACAACTCTCTTAAGTGCTCACAATGCAAATAGGTTCATATGGGGGGGGGGGTCCAAATGCATCTATCTTCTCTTTCCAAGCCTGCTGGGACTTATTTGAGATGAGTGATGCTACATAGAAATAGAAATCACCTGGAGCCTGTTAAAATTATAATCCAGGAAAGGGGGGGGGAGGAAACCCCACAATTATGACAGTTTTAATCCATCTGCCTCTGTGCATCCACTCCAGTTCCAATCAGCTGCTATGGTCACAGGTGCATTATTCTGCGACAGGAGATGAAAAATTCCTTACTGAACAAACATTCCAAATAGCAAGATACCACAGCATCTCAGCTTGCTTATCTCTACAGCTTTAGAGGCATTTATTTGTCAGTAAACAAAATAAATTAAGGTCATATATTGCCTTGTAGCACATCTCTAGTTCTGCATTGTGTAGGGAACTTGCTGAATGATATCTAGGTTTGCTTCCAGGAGCCAATTTTGCATTATGCATCACATTTTAAATAAAGGTAATGCAACAATGCAAGCCTGCAGTTTGTTAATTAACTTCTGGGGAAAGCATTAGTTCACAGTGAATAGCACAACACATCAATATACAAGCAGCATATTTCCCTGCCTGAAAAAGTGATTTTACCATTGCTAATATAGCAATTTGCATTTTTTAAACACACACACACACACACACACACACACACACACACACACTAATTTCACCTTACTTTCAAGTTTTGATTTGCCAAAGTGAGATATGTCATTTACTGTTATGTGGTAAAAATTATACAGATTGTAAATAAAATATTTAAATTGTGCCTACATGTACTTGCTATATTGAATAGTAGTAACTGATGGAAACTGATAAAACTGCCTGATAATGAAAGCAGGGACAATTTATTTATTTTATTTATTAAACTTTACTAGTTACCTTTTTTTTTAACCAAAGTAATTCAAAGCGACTTAGAACAATAAACAAACAGACAAATCATTCTTCACAAATACAAAGGCTGGAGTCTCCATAATGATGTTATGTGAAATTGGACTGTAAATACCTTCAGACCAAACCAGGCACTTTGCAGGGGGCAAAATGGAAAAGAACTTTGGGAATGGATTTTGCTCAGAAAAAACACACACCAGGAGATAAATGGTTAAGCATCACCTCTACCTGCTGGTCTATACATCTCTCACACACATGGAAGTAATGAGTTTTGATTTTGACTTTCCTCTTCCCTCCTTGTCCTCTTTCCCTTGTGTGTCATAGATTATAAGATTGTGAGCCTGTAGGCAGGGAATGTCTTGTTTTTGATTATACGTAAGCCACTCTGGGAGCCTTTTGGCTAAAGAGCACGACATAAATGCTCCAAATAAGTAAGTAAGTAAGTAAGTAAGTAAGTAAGTAAGTAAGTAAGTATAATGCTTCTTAAACCAGTGGCTCCCAACCTGTGTGGCCTGTGGATCTGTGGGGGGCTGTGGAGTCATCCCAAAGGGGTCCACGAATAATGCTCCTCCAGCCAGTGCTTGATTGGTTTCTTCCTCTACCCTCTTCTTTGTCCCAGCAGTATCTCCAGGACTGCTGCCTTATCAATGAGGAGCTTTCGAATGCACAGAACTGCTGCTCATTGGCTTTGGCCTGTACCTTCCCCACTTCCCTTTTCCTGTACTCAGTGTGAGGTGTACTTAGAAGAACCTGACAGCTCAGTACTGGAAAACACTTTTTTTGTGTGGAGTGTGATTTAATGAGGGCCATATCCACTGAAGACACTTAGAGCAGAAAGGATTTGGAATTGCCAGCTTTCTTCAGGGCTGCAGTCCTATGTACACTTACTCCAGGAGTGAACTCCACTAGCAAAGTAAAACTTACCTGTAAGTAAACAGTCATAGGCCTGGGATGTAAAACCACTCCATGCTTTCTAATTCCAATTTATTTTTTCTGTGTGCCTGTATCTCATAATATTACTATTGTAATATTTTTTCTATTGTGACAGATACTCGAGAATAATGCATCTCAAATAAATTGTTAGCATCATCTGCTAATGTCTAATAGATTAACTCTTACTGATTTATTAGATCAAATAGATCAAAGTACTACTGCTTGCTTAATTGGTGCAATTTGCATACAGTTATTCCACTTGCGATGAATTTGCAGCATTGGACTTTCCAGGGATTCATAATGTTGGTTTTGCGTGATTTGCCGCAGCACATCTTTTGATCCCTGGTAGTGATTCCTAAATAAGAGTATTTTCCTGCTTATGTTTGCAGAACTTGGTAATTAATCCAGTGCATGTGTAACTGCATTTACTTAGTGCAACATCATTCATCCTGGTATTCCCCTTTCTGCCCTGCTATTTGTTGTTGCTCACTCTAGAAGACTGATTTCTCTCGTCCATCTTCTACTGTCATGTCATGCTGGATACATTAGCTTCCTCATTAAGATGAAAAAGTTGCTCCGTATTGTGTCCTTTTGGTTAAACACAGCTTGTCACATGGTAGTAGTTCAATGCATGCCAGCAATGCCTTTGGTTTCAATAAGCATGGTTCAAACCTTTGATAGAGCTGCTTCTTAGCCCAAGTAGGAATTACAAAACTTTTGAAAGGGTGATTTCTCCGACTTTATAACCTGACTTCAAAAGTTCTCTTAAATCATCATAAGATACAGCTAAAAGTTGAAATTGCTTCTAACCTGCCCCCAAAGGAAAACTCATCTTAATCCACTCCTACACCTGTTCTTATTATGCAACCACAAAGGACATTGAGATCAAATGTGGACTTTTGTTCTCAAGCATTCTGAACCTGGTGGTGGACCTTTTGATTAGCAAAGTGCCCAGGAAAAAACAGAACTTAAGTTGCAACTTTGTACTTCCGTGATTTTGATGGGTATAGTTTCACTAATCCTGGTAACTTCCTTCTAGAACTGCAGTATATGGCTTGAATAGACTAAAGTGCTGCTTTTCGGGTTACATTTATAGACACTGGATGACACCTGCATTCACTGTTTTACAGATAATGGAGCAAACTCTGTGCCTTTAAAATGTCATGTCAGATTCAGTCTCAGGATTTATTTCATTTCGTCATGATGAAAACATAGGAATAATTGTGTTAAGCCAAAACACTTTTTCTTGTGAGAATAATTAATGTGCT